TAAAATTTCGCGATGGAATATTTTGCTATATGCAAAACGGAATGCATTGTCTAAGATAGGTGTGCCGCAATTTTTAAACAGCTCAATTTCTACACCACTAAATAAAATTGCAAATTTTTTCCTTTTGAATGGGAATGAACCTAGTCTAGTATACATACATACATATATGTGAATTATGGTGCACCAATCTCCATACAAAAGAAAACTTGCTTTAAGTGGTTCATCGGTTCCACCAAAATATTTAAAACAAATAGTAAAATTTCCGTGAGATGGACCGATATGAATATATCGCTAAAAATAGCATTCTTTTCATTTCGTTTCAACATTTTTATGCAGACCTTTCAAGCCTAAACTTGCATATTATCTGAGGTAATTTTTGAAAATATATTATTTCAAACAAATTTAATTTATAAAAAACTCGAGTTTTGGATGTATTTTCAAATCGGCCCAGCTCACGTAAATTTACAATTTTTGCGAGATATTTTAACGGATGCACCTTAATGTACATACATTAGTCATGCATATTTATATATGTACTTTGCAACTACATAAGTATGTATGTATCTTAGTATGCATGGTATACCCAGGCGTATGAGCAACCAAATATCCTTGCAGCAAAGGTGGAAGGGTAGGCCAGGCTAGCTGCAGCCAGGATATACACACCTTTATATAAAATTTACGTATTTATACAATTTCGAAAACATGCAAAAGTATATGCATCGATTATTTATGCCAGCCTACAACATGTTCGACAACATTGCAGCAATGCTAATGGTTTGGGTTTGAGCTCCTTCCTTTGCCATAGCAAGCAATAATGGGCAGTAAAATTTGGTGTATGTGTGCGTGCGAGACAACAACTGCCAATTTAAAATCGGTTGTCGTGGCTACTATGTTGCTAGACACCACCTCCACCGTTCACCATGCACCCTAACCGCAGCAGCAGCAGCAGCAGCATCATTGCCTCTCATTCCATTTCGTGCCATTGCATTTCATTTTTATAGTCTCGCATCACTTCATTTTATTTTATTGTATTTCATTTCATTTGCATGTTTATTTGTCTTTTTTTTTTGTTTTATTTCATTTATTTCATTTTTAATTCGCGCGCTCAATATCCTAGCACATCCTGCCGTATACATAAACACACATACATATATTCGCACCCCCACCCAGCCAACGCTGCATTACTACATACGCGCCACAGTCAAAATACAAATTTTCGCGCGAAGCCTTACTTAAACGTGTGGATGTGTGTGTGTGTCCAATATCCTTTCGCACTCCACTCGTAATACACGTATCGTCAGTTGCTGATGAGCTGCAATTCACATACATACTCGTACATAAGCGCATAGGCTCTTTATATTAAAGTGGTTGTTTGTTGTCCAGCTTTTGGGTGGACAGGTGGTGGCGATGGCAGCATTGGGCGTAGCGAACGCATTTTCATGTTGATGTTGTTGATTTTATTCATTTCAATTTTATTTTTTGTTTAATGTGTTTTTTTATGGTCATGTTGATGCTGAATGAAGTTGCTGCATACATATGTGGCTGCTGCTGTTTACTGGGCTTTATGGCTGGCCATTTGTATTGCTGTCATTAAATAAATGGTGCGTCAACTGTACTTTTGGCGTGCATATGTATTTTTGTGCATGCACTAATGTATGTCTGCTTGCAGTAAATGCTATATTATACGTACATATGTACAAATTTATGTAAATACCTGTGTATTTAAGTTTGCAAATAAATGTGTTTGTTGCTTGACGACTACCGCATTTAATGCTGTCATTTAGAAACGCAAATATATAATTTTTTATATACATAAAGTGCACATAATTACTTTCAAAACTGCATTTAATGCATGTACATGACTAAATATACAAGTAAAACAGAGTCTCTATACTTGTATGCATTAGTATAGTACATAGCTAAGTTTTGTATTAAATTTCTCCTGAAACTCGTTTAAAACTTATTTATAACAAATTATTTGTATGCTGTGGTTAAGTGCAACTAACGAGTGTACCTATCACCTCAGTAAAGTTTCTTCATGCTTTTGCGAATGGGCTGAGACGTGTCCCTAATTCTAAGGGCTACTGAAATTATTGTATGAAATTTTCATAATGAAAATCCGATGTGCCCAACAGGGGTGAATAAACAGCTGATTAAAAATTTAACGCTTACGGTATGTGCCACGTCACATAGTGGTATAGCTGCATACGCTTTTTGGAAAAAATTCGATCCTCAATATACCGTGTTCGGGTTTCGGTTTAATTTAACATGCATTTTCCTCCCATGCAAACTTAACCTCAAAAACGCCTTAGCGTCTTCTTTTTCAAAAATCGAAACAAAAGATTACGGTCTTCACGTATTTATATAGCTAAGCGATGTTGGAAGACCGAAGGAAAACATATTTTCTCCGGCAAGGCCGGCATTTTTAAAGTATAAGTTAAATGTGCTGGTAAACGATGACGATGATGACAATAGAAATAGTGACTTCTTTTCGAATAATATCGCTGAAATCGGAAAATGTGTAATCGCTATAATAAGCACTACATTGAATACTTATGTTCCCATTCGTCTTAAGATGTACCGAGTGCTCTTTTTGTGAAAAGGCCGTTTATCGCCAAAATTTGTGTTGATTATCGATATTTAAATAAAATAACCGCAAAACATTCGTATCCCATGCCGAACAAGGAAAAACAATTCGCTCAATTAGCCGGAAATATGTACTTTACAATGCTAGATCTCCGGATGGGTTACCCCATCACATTGAAATGGAAGAAATCTCAAAGAAATTCACCGCGTTCGGGACCATCGACGGTCATTTCGAATTTAATCGAATGCCTTTCGGTCTTGTAAATGCACCAGCAGTATTTTTGTGCTTGAGGAATAAAATTGCAGCACAAATGCCAGCTAATGAAGTACTTGTTTACTTGGACGGCACAATTATACCAAGTAAAACTGAACAAGGACTCAGTCGTTTAGAAAAGGTTTTAAAGTCGTTAAAAGACGCAAATCTCACACTACGCATAGATAAATGTAGTCTTCTACAAAAACAGATAGAACATTTAGTTCACGTTATTGACATAAACGGAATTACTCCCGGCAAGAAAAAAATATATATAATCGCGATTATAAACTCTCCCGTACCGAAAAATGTCACTGAGGTAAGAAGATTTATAGATCTCGTTGGTATTTTTCGAAAGTTTGCCGAGGACTATTCTCTAATCGCAAAGCCGCAAATAGACAATAAGCCGCATTTGCGAAGCTCATCAACGTATCGACGGTTGGGCCTGTACGCTCTATACGACCCAAGCGTGTAACATAAAATGCTTACTGATGCAAGCCCCATTGGTATTGCCGGCATTTTACTTCAGTCCCACGGTTTGAAAACGTACAAAGTTCGTTGTGTCGAAAGTTGTACATTGGTGCATTCGGCAGTACTGTCACGACAATGCAGGACATCAGGCAATCGGAAAAAACGTTAGATCGGATCAAGCATCAAGCAGTTCTATTGGTTTCCGCAAATGAGAAAGTACGCCAAGCAATTTATAGCCACATGCAAATTGTCTAGCAATAACAAGCAACGATCGGGAAAAACTGAAGGTTCTTTCCATTATAGCCCAGCCAAACCGATACCTTTTCATTTGATCCACATAGATCATATGGGTCCTTTTTTACGTAGCAAACGAAGAAATTGCTATGTTCTTGCACTTTCCAGCGCCTTCATCAAATTTCTGGTCGTTAAAGCGGTTCGAGTTACCGAAACCCTCCATATCTTGAAAGCACTCAATGGAATGTCAAGCGACATCGGGCTGCCATTGCAAAAAGTCAAGCATTTGAATCCTGTTGTGAAAAAAACAATATCCAGCATACAAAAAGCACAGTACGCGCTCCAAGAGCAACTGGCCAGGTGGAGCATGCGAACCAGACGATTTTGTCATTCTTCCATACAACAACTGAAGAGCCAAAAGATTGGGCCCTCACACTCAGAGAACTGCAATGGACCGTAAATTTGCGGAAAAATGCAACAACCCAAATGAGCCTGTATTTAATTATAATCTTCGAGATATAATACAAAATCAACTTATTCATGCAATCCACCGAAATGAACTAGTATTCACTGAAAATGAGCCCGATTCTGTGAGCGACTCCAAGAAATTAGAGCCAAAGTATCGAGGGCCATACGTAATGCGAAAAGCTTTAGGCAAGGACCGATACCTTCTGAAAGATATCCCTGCCTACCAAGTTACATCGAAGAAATTCAGTTCTGTATATGCATCTGAGAAAATTAAACCCTCGTTTAGGGCTAATAACGAATTGGATATCGACGATGCAATGAATGATGAAGTCGATGCCGATTCACCGTCGGAATGCGCCGAGTTGTCAACTCCAAGAAAGTCTGGCAACATTAGTAGCAACATCGTCATCAGCAGCCGCAATTCATTCGTGGTCGTTGGCCGCGTTATCGTGCAAATAAAATATCTATCTGAACTTATCTTGCAATATAATTACAGTTTTTTTTGTAAACATTAAAGGCATAAACTTGTTAAAATAGACCGGATTCTAGCTTTATTTAATATGAACGCCGTCCTGTACATTAATTGTCTCGCCGCTCATGACAGTTGTGTTTCAATATGTATCGCGCAAAACTATACCTCAGTTTTCAATGGGAACCACAAAGACAGCAATGCACTCACGATCTTCCACGGAGATAGAACTCAAAATTATACATTTGTCAGAAAATGCGAAAAACTATTTCTTATTACTTGCTAATCACATGTTCAAGTGAGACTTTATCTTCGGTTTTTTTTCAACAAATTATAGCAAAAGTTTGCTTCAGCTTTTCATGAAAGATAAATCAAAGCTCTGTGGACACTTTTAGCTCATAATTTCAAAAAGTCCAAATTTTGAATTGTGTCACTTTTGAAGATCGTGCGCGAATCGTTGGTAAATAAAAAAATTCAACTTTATAAGTAAGTTAGAGAAGAAATTATTTGAACTCTTACCTGTTTGGGCTGATTTTGAATCCTTTCGAAACTTTTGTCGCGTTTTTGAATTTGTTTTTTCTGATATTGATTAGTTTTTGTTGCTAAAATATGCTGTCCGAAGTTTAGACCGTCGTAGTGGTAAACATTTTGCACACGACTTCTCTTAAAACTCCACTGCTACTTATTTCAATTTAGTTTTGCTTTACGTTATAGTTTATTTTTGGATATTTTTAATTTTGGTATTTTATAATTTTATTTTTTATTTTTTATTTAGATTACGCATACAATGGAATATTTATTATAATTTTTTTTTGTTCCGAAACTATTTTTTTATTTACGTTTTTGTGCCACAATACATTAATAAATTTGTTGTATATTTGTGTTTTTATAAATTTATTTTGGTAGATGAGTGTTATGTATGTATTTTTCATGCAATTTTCATTTCATTTTCGCATAGACTATCCATGACTTTTAACTTACACTAAAAAATTGTGTCCAAAATTGTATTTGAAAAATGTTTTTCCAAGAATTTCTTTTTTTTTATATATTTTTTAAATATTATGTGCTAACTGGAAAATGCAACTTCGGGTCTTTCGTTGCTTTTGCGCTTTATTTGCGCTACTTTTTTCACTTTTTCAAACGGCAAGATATATTTGTTCTTGTTCTTACTGCACTTCGAATTGCTTGCTTGCTTTTGCAAATCTGCTAGCTGCCGCTTTGTACCGATTTCGTGTTCAATCGAAATACGCTTTCGTCTTTGGAGAAAATCACCTTTTTCAAATTTTCGAAACGGTTTTAACGAGATTTTTAAAAAATGTTTTTTTTCACGCGTTTCTAACGCAAATCCGTTCGAAAGTTTATGTTTTTCGTTTACGCGCACTTTTTTTGTTTGTTTTCTACACTTGGAAGAATATTTTTGGCCAACACGTTGTTATTTTCATTCTCTTTTAGGCATTTCCAAGCTTCGTGTGCTTGATTTAAGCTTTTTGTTGTTCTTCACATATGCAGTTTTTGTTGTTGTTGGTTTTGGCTTTTTTGACACTCGTGTTCAGAACAGTTCGGAACAAAATTTAAACACGAAAAATTACCGGAACTAAAAGTCTTTCGTTAAAAGGTTCTAATTTTCACAATTTACGTCCAGAATGGAAATTTTGTTTTAAAAATTTAACAAATTTTGGCTATTTCGATTTTCTGTTTTCCTGTTTATTTTTTTATTTTTGTTTTATTGATTTGATTTTCTGGTTAACCGGTTTGTTTTTGTTGCTGTTGCTGCTGCTTCTGTTGTTTTGGTTTTTTCCTACTGTTGTTGCTAATTATTTCCTTATTTGTTTTTGTAGTTTGCAAATTTTGAGACTATTTTTTTTGTTGCTGTTGTTGTTCAAGTTTTGGGTTCGCTTGATTTGTATGCTATTTCACGGTTTAACGGTATCTGCTTGCTGATATTATTATTTGTTTTCTGTATTATTTTTAAATTCAATTAGTTTAGTGGGTTCTATTTTAAATTTTGTGGTTGTTGGTTTTATTGCATTACTTGTATGGTTACTATTAACTATTGCGGTTTTATATTTCGGTTGCGGTTGTTGTTACTCTTGCTATTGTTGTTGTAGTTACTTTTACTGCTATTGTTGTTGTAGTTGATATTTACTGCTTGAATTTTGTTTGATTTGTTTTCCGAATCAACTTTTCGTGGGTTTGTTACTATTTTTTGTTTCTGTTGCTTTTTTGTTGGTTATTACGCTTATTGTTGTTGTTGTTGTTGTTTTTTGGGGGGTTGCTTGGTTTATTGCTTAGTTGCTGATTTGTTGTAATTCGGTTTATTACTTGCGGGTTTATTAGATTTTTTGTTTGTTTAATATTATTATTTTAATTGTTGTAGGTTGTTGTTGTGGTTTCTTTTATTATTGTTACTGTTGTTATTTTATTGTTTCTGTTGTAGTTGTAGTTGCGTTTTTCTGTTACACTTTGCTTATTGGCTGTTGCGGTTTGTAGCTGTAGTTAGTTGTTTATTTTTGTAGTTGCGGTAGTTGTGTTTTTGTTGTAGTTGTGTTGTAATTTCTTTTATTATGCTGCTGCGTTTTTGTTTTTATTATTTAACTTTTATTATTTAGCGGTTGTTATTATTACTATTAGTTTTGGGGTTGTTGTTGTTGTGGTTGCAGTTGTTGTAGTTGTTGTTGTAGTTGTAATCCAAATTTTGTTGTAAATTTTGTTTGTTAAATTTTGAGAAACTAACAGAAAATCACTTTTTTGTTGTATTTGTAACTTAATGTAATGAAACTGAGCGTTCTCTTTTATGTAAAAATTTTTATTTTTTGATTTACCGTTTTTTGTTTTGGTTTTTGGTTTTTCCTCGTTAGTTTTAACGCATTTATACGAAAACAAATTAAACAAAAACTAACTTAAATTATTGTTATTTACAAATTATTTAGTTAATTAATTAAGTTATTACAAAAACAAAACGATTGCACATAAGTTCCTTTTTTTTTGTTGTTTTCGCGATTTGTTGTTTTTCTTTTGTTTTTGTTTGTTTGTCCTAGAGTTGCCTTTCCATATGTTGGTTTCCTTGACTTTGATTGGGATTTGTTTTTGTTTTTGTTCGTCCTCAGATTCAACAAAACAATATTTAATAAGAATCAACAACGTTTCAACGTAATTATTAAAAAGGTTCCAAACAGTCAAAAAGCACCTGGATAATGAGAGAGAAAACATATAAAAGAGATTAGTATGATAAGACAAATATTTTCAATGGATTAGATCTAATGAAGGATCTATCCACACAAAAAAAAAACGCTCAATCAAAAATAATGGAATTCAAAAAACAAATCATAATAATCTTAACGAAATCAAAGTATAAATTTGAATTGCTATGCAAATAACTTTCTAGTTAAAATTTCATACACATCTAGAAAAGTAGATTCTTGTTTAAATCTCTAGAAAGTGTTGGAAGATCCCTTTAAAATTTTTTTATAATTTCACTTTAGCTTATTGTTTTGTAATCTATGTAGATAAAGGGACTGCCAGAACTAAAGAAGTGATTATCGTTTTTTAAAGACTTTGAGTTTTTCTGGTGCATAATTTTTTGAGCTTCTGCTCAAGATTTATATAACTACATTTTTCTTCTCAGCATAATTTTAAATTCTTTGTACACGGCCACGTCAAATTTAAGTTCTTAATAAAAAAGAAAAAAAAAGTAAACAGTTTAACTTTTGTTTTGTTAACATGAAAATTTCATTTTCAAAAAAAGCTCAGGATGTTTTCAAAACAGTGCAAATTGTTTGCATAGTAATTCTTATTCAATACAAAAACATAAGTCATATGAAAATTGTTAATAAAATTTTATTATATGTATTAAATATTAATAAATTAAAGCAGAAAAGTGTAATTTGCTGCGCGGTGCACATTTTCGAGTTCAATGCACCCAGACGATGTAAAAATTGCTCGAAACTTGCTTCATAGTCAAATTCCAAGTAGAGCAATATTTCATAACATTTCGCAGGCACACACACATACAATAACATTTAAAGGAAAGGCAGAAAAAAAACATAGCGGAAGTGCCAAACGTCTACACTCCCGGCGATTTAACGCGATAAGGAACGCAACAAATTCGGGAAAACTGCGTTCAATGCTGGTTTAGGTGGCTGGCGTGGTGGCAATGTGATGGCTTAGTTTAATTTATGTGTTTAGAAGCACAAGTGTGGGCAAGCCCAATAAAACTCTAGCTTCAACAGAATGTTAGTAGCGTACAAATGCATGTATGGAGCAGAAGTTAGTAGGGGATTTTCACTGACATAGATAAAAGTAAACAAGCACGCGCTTGATTGCCAAACAAAGAAATGAAAACACAAAATCAACTAAATTTTCAAGTTCAAAGTGCCGCTGCAGGGGTATAAGCTACGGCTTAGCTAGCTGTCTGATGTGCGATGATACATACCATTTATCAATGTTGTGGCGTGGAATGGTACAAGAAAAGCGGAAAAAATAAAAGCAAGTATCGAAGAGATACGAGTAGGAGATGCATTTTTTAGGAGGTTTGTAAAATTTTTCCTAAAACTAGAATTTTTTTCATCCTGGGTTTAAAAAATAAGCAGATATTGTGGGATTGGAATAAAATCCTTATTTATTTACTGTTGTTATTGAAACTAATTAAAATTTCTATAAAGTTTTATTTATTATTCAAAGCAAGTAAATTTCAGAATTTCTTTTAAAAGTTTCAGAACAAACAACTTTACTTTATTGAAAAATTAAATAAGATAAACTACTACGCTTTAAGCAATTTTCTGAGTGCTCAGAATATATGAGTCTAATATGAGTACTTCACTTATAATGACTAATTTTAGACTCTTTTGATGTTATCAACTCTATCTCTGGTTAACACTAATCTCCTGTTAAACATCGTTAAAGACTTATTGACTAAATACATGCATATAACATTGTTTCAATTGTCTAATTCGCAAAATTTTTTTATAGATAAATATTTTTCACACTAGAAATTTTTGTTGTTGTTATTCGTTTCTACAAAATTTCAAAAATAAATAAAACAAAACTTTTATTGCAATAAAGAAAAGTTTTATTTTTTTTAATTTCGTGATTGTAACCTTAAATTTATATACAAAACAAAAAATTATTTAAAATGTAGAAAATAAAAAAAATATTTTAAGTGCAAATTCGTTTTCCATAGAAAAATTTACAAAATTTGATATATCCCAATTTTTAAACAAATGATACATTTTATTGTTAAAGCAATGGAGAAAAGAAAACAATACTGAAAATTAAAATGATCTAATGTTTAAAAGAGAAATTTTTAAATGATTATTTTTATTTTTTATTATGTTTTATCGTCATAATTTTTATTATATTAAGCTTTGAAAATTTTAAATTAAACAATTCTGAAAAAAATTTTAGAGATAATTATATTTTTTTTCTTACAAATAATTTTTATTATATTATTATTTATATATATTACTTTTATTATATTTAGTTTTCAAAAATTGGAATATGTGCATATAAGATATAATTTCATTGTATAAAACGCTTGAGAAAAAAATAATTAAAAGAGAATAAAGAAATAAAAAAGAAAACTAAAAAAATAAATAAATAAAAAACTATTTGAAATATTTTATTTTAAAATCATGTGGGAATTTAATTAAAAAGAAAATATTTTGATATTTAAATTTTATAGATTTAATATTTTTTTGCATAAAACTCACTTTTCTTTGAAAACTATTTCAAAAGTTAGAAACTTTTCTTTTTAAAATAAAATCTCAGGACTTATAAGTTTAAATAACCTATCAGGAGAAAAAAAAATTATTTTTTAATAAAAAATTAAAACTACATATTTTAAAAGTAAGAAACTTTTCTTTTTAAAACAAAATCTCAGGACTTATAAGTTTAAATTAAGTATCAGGAGAAAATAAAATTATTTTTAATACGAAAAAATTTTGTACATATGTATGTATGTATATGTACGTATGTAGATAAATATACATATGTATGTATATAAGTGAGCATTTAATTTTTTCATAAAATACATTGTGCAAAATGTTGCACTTGCTTTTTGGAGAAAAAAACGATAACTTTGGTGTCCACCAGAAATGAAGAAAGCCGAATTTCGCTTTTGCTTTAGTGTTAAAATATTTCTCCTATTCTTTTGAGTCAGAATCCATACGTCTATAAAAATATTTACAAATCATTTTTTTTTTCTCACACACGCCTACAATCAATAAACTATTGTATCAAATTCGCACGAACCAAAACGAAGAAAACCGCAGTGATAGGTGCACTCATACATACATGTATACCTATGTATGTATGTATATTTATTAGTTACACATTTTGCATATGACTATGTAGTTTTTGTTAGTATCTTTCATTCCATGCATCTTCTAAACACTGCACTTTGCACCACATTCATATGAATGTGTACATAGATATGTTCGTATTTCATTTTCATTTTCTAAGCATTTCGCATTCGTCTTCATTTGTCTTTTTGGCAAAAATCCATGTATTCCGAATATTAACTTCCGTTCATTCACAGAGCCAAGCACGCATACATACATACATACATACATACATACATACACACATACGCATGTTTATGCACTTTTCACTCTTTGCATATACATACATACATACAACACCAAAGAACAAAAGCACACAAAATGAGTGTGAATTCTAAGCTCTAATCACGCGCGAGCCACCAGTACAAAAGTGCAGCAACACCTGCACCACCCCTACGACCATCTCCACCATTATGGGAGTGAATCTTTTGTTGTTGCCGCCGCCGCCGCCATTAGAATTTAGTTCCAGTTTGTTTCTCTATTGCAAACGCAAAATGGGCAACCTATTGTACTCTATTGTGGAGGTACTCGTAAGCGACGCGAACGCGAACATTTTGCCGGCAACGAAAGTGTGGAAGATTGCGCGAGAAATTGAAAACATTGCGTTAGGTTTGATTAGGGAAATTAGTATTAGATTTTTTTGTTTTTTTTTTTTGTTTTTAGTATTGAGTTGTAGCTTCGTTTATTTTATTTTATGGGATTTATTAGTTTTTTAGTAGTTTAAGGTTCACGTTTTTTTGTATATTGTTGTTGAAGTGTTGAATGTGGTTTTTACTTATTTTTGGTGGTTTTTTTACCTTTTTTCGAACTTCTTCGAATAAGTATAAATTTATTTAATATTTCGTTGTATTTAGTGTTTTTTTTTTTTATACCAACAAATTTGTTATTCTAGTTTGAGTATTTGATTTTTTTTCTGGGAATGGCGAAAAACAAAATACGCTAAAATACATGGTGACAACTGAGACTTTCTAAATTGTGCGTTATTTCTATATTTCTCAATCAAAACGATTTGTTACTATTTTTAGGCGTACAATGTTATCAAACATAAAACCAAAAATGCTCGATTTCTGTTTTGAAAAAATGCTTCACAAAATTTTTCAAAAACAAGATTCTAAAATTTTTCAAATTCTTTTAAACCAAAATTAAACAAATTTTCTTACAGCCAGTTTCATGAAACCCTTTTCAGAATTGGAATGATTATAAATTTTTTAATTTTGTATGAAAATGTACAGAAAATAAAAAATCTTTCTCCATTTAAATTGCTGAGGAAACCAGCTATTAGAGATGTAATTTTACTTAAATTAGGTAAAATATTTTATTTTTTACATTCGAAATTTTCTGAAACTAAAAACTACGATTTATCTAACCTTTTGTAAGCCAAGAAAATAAAAATATTTAGAAAGGCGATTTTATCGCATCTACATATTTAAATACGAATAATAAATTAATAACTTAAGTGCTTGAATTAGATAAAATTTTAATTTTTTATATTTGAAATTTTTTGTGAAATATATTAAAATAAAAATTATAAATGTTGAAAAATACCCAACAACTTTTAAATGTCTAAATTCTAGTAAATTTTAGGAGTATGTAAAAGATTTTCCTTAAATTTTTGTAAATTTGTTCCATATTATATTTTAAGTACAATTTTTTTGCTATTTTTCAGAAACCGAACTTTAGTAAATTTTTATTGCACAACGCATATGCAATAGAATGAAAATTTTCAAAAAAGAAACAAAAACTGGTGAATACAATTTTTTGAGGCGCAAATTTTTTATTGGAGCAAATGTTTTATGTAAATTCTATTGTTTTATTGCTGTGAAAATTTTGTTCGCGTTATATTTTATTTAAATAAAATGCAATTTTATATATTTTCTTTACCATTGATTTTTATAAAGTTATTTTTTTTAATTCTTGAAAAATTAATTTTTAATCTACAGTAAAATGAAACTTTTCGATAATGTATTGCCTAATTTTGTTAAATAAATTTTTTAGAAGCATTTGGGTGGTTCAAGAGCTGTCATATTGTCTTAAATATATTTAAAGCTTTTAACGGTCAAATTAATATTTAGAAGACTTGGAACCACTATCAACTGTTTATTAGCTGTGTGAAAATTTATATGATTTTTATGATACCTTGCCACCTAAATATATTTTTAGGCGTTTAAAGTTATCCCAAATATTTTCGTCCTTAACTTTTAGCGATTTCGTTCGCAATTCTCTTGGAAGCACAATTTTGGGGCGTAGTTTCTCTTCTTTTCAAGCTCAAAACCGATTTGTCTTTACATGTTTTGAAGGAAGAAGTAATCATTTCTTGAAATTTAGTCCAGAAAGATCAGATATTTTTATATTCACAACAAACAAAAAAATTTATTTAAACAGTTTTTGCACAATATTTTTTTTTATTGAAAAGTTTAAATATAAGATAAATTTAAAATTTTAAATAATTCCCAAATTTTCCTATATATTATTGTATATGTATATTTGCATTAAAAAGAATTTTTAACACACAGTGATAAGTTTTTATTTATTAGTTTTTTTATTTTAACTTGATATTTTTTTTTATTTTTATGTGAAAGCTGTTTACGTTATTACCAATTTTCATTTATTTTAATGTTTTAGGCCTCTGTTCTCCTAGATATAGCCTTTTCTGTTATAAAAATAATTTTTTAATAATTTTTTCGCTATTTTTTGAATCATTTCCAAACAATTTTTTGATAATTTCCAAGCTTGAATTTTTAAATTTTTAAATTTTCATAATTCTAATTTATGCGTATGAGTTAAGAATTCTCTTATTTATGAGTTTTATAAATTTTTATTATTGTTGCTTGTTAAATTTAGTTGTTTGAATCAAATGCTTCGTTCAAATTCTTCAAAGTTTATTAAAAGAATAGAAAAAATATCCCCAAAAAAAGCTGTACATAAATTTGTTTTGCATAGTTAGGACCAGTTTTATTTACTTTAATGAAAAAATTTAACTTTACAAATATTTATAACACTTTATATCTTCTATTATTTGTTTTAATTTTTGATTAATTACAATAAAATTTTAGTACATTATTTTAAATTTTTGACCAGTTTAATTTACTTTACTGAAAAACTTTTATTTTGCAGACATTTAAAAAACTTTAAATCTTTAGTTGTTGTTGTTTATAAATTTCCATTTCACATTTTTTACAACTTTTTATTTAATTGTAATACAATTTTTAAAAATTATTATTATAAGTAAATGCAGGTATCAAACAATTTATTTTTAGCAAGTTTTTCTCTAATGTCACTTTTATGAATATTTTGTTATAGAAAAACAACAATAATTGACAAGGGCTACTATATCAGATCATGAAACCTCATCAGAATCCATATCATATCGTGAAAAGCAAGCTATCTACCCACTAAGCTACATTTTTTAGTATATACTTTTTTTTGCATTAAAAACAATCATTTCCTTATTTGTCTGCTGTTTTATTTACATAGATTCATATGTAATCTGACAATTTGTATGATTATATTATTTACTGCAAGCATACATATGTTTAAATAAAAATGTTATAAATTTATATGACAATTATTTATATTTTTTTTATATTTCAGATTAGTTTCTGTGTTGTATTAATTATTTAGTTCATATAAATTTTTTTTTTTATATTTTTTTTTTTTCAAAATTTCAAGAAGTGACAATTTTCTTGGTCAATTTGTCAATTTGTTATCAGTGTATTTGATTTCCATTCTAATCCTTCTTCCACTGTCACAGACACATCATCAGTACTTATGTAGTATGTAGATTTGTTTTCAATTTCTCATCACTTCACTTCCACACTTTCTTTCGGCTGCATATTTTGGTTTTCGGTTTTCGGTTTTCTTATTTTTTTTTGTTTATATTTTTTCCGCCAAACACAAAATCAAAATTTTCTAAGTTCACCGAAAATTGTCTCGCATTTTTCTCCAGAGCAAACCAAAAGTCAGTACAAAAGTCGAGATACTGGCGGTACGCGAGCAACGCAAAGAAACCCGCCAAGGAACAATCGTGCCGAAACAACGCCAATACCAACAACTACTATCTACACTAGGTACCACCATCGTCGTCATCGTTTTCGTCAACAATTTTTCGTGGTTTTTTGGCAAAGTCAAAGAAACAAGCAAAAAATGTTGAGTCGTGAAGGAAAGAAAAAAATTTTCTTGTGTATGCTTTTGTAGTGTATCTTTTCTTGAGAGATGGAAAATATAAAAATTTTTGCGCGAAGAAGCGCGCCCAACGAAACGCACCGAAAACGGCCAAAAAGATGAATATGTGCAAAAATCTTTTGCATACACTCAAGAACCCGCAACGACTACGGCGGCCACAACGTCGACGACCAGCGAACGGCTCGCCGGCAAACAGAAATTGGACGGCTATGCCAGCTGCCGCGCGGTTGGCGCAAACGCAACACCAAAACTTATATGTACTTACAAGTGGCGATGGCAGCGGGTATACAACATACAAAGCAACAATGGCACAAATACAATTGGGGAACAAACCAAGAAAAAAAACGACGACTGCGATAAAAAAAGAAAAACCTAAAGTTATTCGCATACACGAAAAAGTAGCAGCAAAAAGTACTCATACGGCCGGCACAGCGCGCGGCAAGTCGGCAAGCGTGAAGGCAACAGAAGTACAAAAAACTTGTGAGCAACAAAAAGACAGAAACCAACGTGACGACGACAACGAAAACGACGACGACGACGACAACGACGACGATGACGATGGCGATGGCGATGACTATGGTGACTACCACTACCGCTGCTACGATGTTGGCGATGATGACGACCACAACGACGACGACGACGAGAACGGCAGCTACGAACAAACCTGGCGATGCCAACGAAAACAACACGAACAAGAGCAATACCACAAAGGCAACATTGATGATGATACATAAGTAGGTACAATGTGGAGGTTCATGTGGTGCGGCGCAAGTGCAGTAGGGGGAGAAAAAGCGTTGAGTTTTGCTTTGTATAGCGGCTGTGGAACGCACCGGCAGCGCCCGAAAATTCTGGCACTCTTTGGAGTTGATTTTGTGAGTGTGGCGAGAGAGCGCGCGTGAGTAAGTGGGGAGCGTGGTGGGGTTGAGCGCGTCCATACAAAATGAATACGGTGGCAGGGAGGAGCGCAAAAAGTCTCGGTGCTCCAGTGGCGGTTGGAGACGGTCGAGACACAAAAAGATAAGCGGAGTCGCTGGCGCAGATACAAGAGAAGTTTCGTGTTTTTTTTTTGCTAACAAGCACATATGGTTGCTTTTGTTGATAGAGCGCTGAATTGACAATGTATTTTTTTTTTTTTTTGAACAAGTAGTATGTGTGAGCGCAATTGAATGGAGCGTTTGGCGCAGGGGTGACGAGCGTAAATTTATGAGGCGGTCGAGGGAAGTGGCAACAAAGGCTGTGCAGGTAGAAGTTATAAGTTCGTGAGTTCCAAGGGCCGCGGTATGAACTGAGAAGCGGGAGACCGCTTGCCCGCTTCCATTTCATTAAGCGCGCTTAGCATTCCGCTTGCATCGAAGTAAAAACTTTGTTGGACCGAAGTTTTAATTTCACGGCGTATTTTCTTCGGCTGTGCGACAAAGAAAAAATCACAGCAAGTGTTCATTTTCAGCACGCGTATCAGCGCTGAGCGTTCAGTTATTTACTCTTACAACAATATCTCGCCGGCCAAAAAAACACAAAAAATCATGCGCGTGCCGTAAGTGCCAATAACAGAACCCAGGGGCTGGCCACTTGATAAAACAAAAAAAAAAAAAAAACAGATGAACTTTTAATTTCAGCGCCCCCAAATCGAAACGTCAACCAACCCGAAGAACAGTGATTTTTTTTTATTGCGAACTCGGTTTGCATATTTGGTTCGTTTTTTACATGCTCTTTGGTCGCTGTGCTGCCACCCACCAACCGGCCACCAACCAAATTCTTGGGCGCTTGACCGCTCCGCTTCATTAAAGCGGCAGAAATTGCGGGACGCAATAATGTACGAGCCGCCTTCCCTCGCCCCACAAGTAACAGCCGCAGCATCGGCGCTCGCTTTGATGTGTTCACTGCGCGTCAGCTGGTGGTAGTGGCATTAACTATTCGGCAAGTCGACGATTCTGCGCGCCCCCAACGCCAACAAAATACACACACCAAACGCGCACAGAATATCGAATAAAAAACGCAAAGCGCACCGATTGCGCGAAAACGCGTCATAGAATTCCCTAAATAAAACAAGCAGCAGATGCAAAGATACAAAACGGCAAGCACAAATGCAAAAACTGGCTAAAAGTAAAGATAAAAAATTCAAAAAAGAAAGCAAATTAAAACACAGTAGCCAGTGACTATGACGAGAACCGTGTCAGCCCTACCGAACGGATTAAATGTGAACGACGTACTGAAGCTGAACGAGCGCGGCAAAAATCGAAAAACACAGGCAGGCAGGCGAGCAGGCAATGGCTAAGCAAAAAAAAGTATCACTACACAAACATATGCATGCAACAACAAGCGCAGCGGGCTCATTTTGGTGAGCAAAGCGTTGATTGGGAAGGGGGGCACGCCGAAGCACCGGGAATGCAAGACGGGAGCAATCGTCCACGAACAAAACGAAATTTATTTTGTAAGCTTCGTACAATCGAAGCTAAAAAATTCACGCATACGTACATTCACAAAAAGTGGGATTGCTCCCAAACGCTCTCCGGCGCAATATAAAGATATGCATGTTTTGAGGCGCACTACATAAGCAAGCGCTTGCATATATGTATGTATTAATACAAATGCACTTTGCTGCCACACCAAACACAAATATTCACACATGCGCTTACAAGCGCTGTGTGTATCTTGCAACTGGCATTAACAAGTTGTACATATCCATGCCATACTTGAGAGTGCGCGCGCTCCCTGCCAGCGCCCGAATGCACTCACACTTATTGGCGCTTGCTGCTCGCTTGAAAAATGTGCTTGCGTGTTGGTAAAAAAGATACACAAAACAGTCAGCGCGCGCAAGTAAAAAGTGCTCGCCCAGAAAAATTAAAAAAATTTAATTTGTTTGTGTATGGGTATGCACTCGTGACCCCCTTGCTCCGCCTTTCGTGTCGGCATGCATGTGCGCGCGCAATCTTTCCCAGTAATCCCCAATGGCCATACACTGACCTGACGCTCTCGCACTCTCACCTTTACATACCCACGAATCAGAATATATGTACACCTCTGGCTCTGAAACGCACTCTTTCACCCGTGCTGCTTAGGTCGGTGTTATGCAGAAATTTTGTTTGGCAAACTGCGTGCAATTGTTGTTGCAGCAAACTCGGAGAGAGCGAGTTTGGCGACTCTCACAGCAAACTAATTTTGTTTGGTCAAACTGCAGCAAATTCGGTGTTGTCATATACAAAAATTTTAGATTTTGCGCGTTATGTACATCTGAAATTCTCATTTCGTGTTGGCAATAGCNTAAGCAGCCGCCATTTAATTTGGCAAACAAAATTTTTCTGCATAACACCGACCTTAAGGAAATGCAATGGCTGCAATGAGCGCTAATTTTTTAAACCCTCACTCTCTCTCTTACTCTCTTTTTTTCTCCACTCGTGGCCTTAAGCATATTCTTCTCGTTAAACAGTGGAGAAAAACTACAACGAATGGTCCAGAAGATGACTCGACTAGAATTTGACTGGAAGGTCTAGGAAAGCGAGGCTAATTACCCAACACGCTCACACGACAGTTGGGTCTACGTAGTCGGAACGGCCCAGATACATATACCTGCCAAGGACCGTAACCCCAGCGTCATTCTCCAAAACTCGCTGGGGAATTTGTATGCAGTTGCTAGAACAACTACCCGACTATTCTGGAAAAAATTAAAAAAAGAGCAGCTAATATTTCATATACTATTTATATTCAGATTCCTTATAGTCTTTAAAGAGCCTATACATTTCGAAGGAGAGTAACACTGTATGAATATGTAAATAGTTTATTATCCATCAAATCTGAGCCACTCTTGTCCGGAAAAAGTCCAGTAGTTGACTCCTTAAGAATATTTTTCTAGTCTGATTAAAATTTCAAGAATTTCTCTATTACATTTCACGGATACCAAAGAAACTTCGGACGACTCCTACGATGAATCTGTTATACTTTCATAAGTATTCTAAGCACTTCGGCTTCAGCTGGTTGTTAAGCTTTAAGTTAATTTTTTGTTCTAAAATAACTATAGCACGCTTTAAGAAAAATTTATAACCTATTGTTTCAGCAAATTTGACAATTGAATCTTCATCGTGCTTTTCCTCCAATTGTGGTGTGCGTCTCAATGCTCTTACGCAAACTGAAGCGGCTACCAACTGCAGATGCTTTTTTTTATTGGACAGTGGTTTCCCAATTGCCTGTCGAGCAACGACCGCTGTTAGAATTTTTTTGTTTGTTTATAATTTTTTACTTTGTATTGTAATTCCCAAGCTGTGTGGCTTAAAAGTTTAGTTTATAATTGGTAAGATTTTCATTTTCCTTCCTCGAAGTATTTAGATATTTTAAAAAAGTTTGAAGAGCTGCAAAACTAAACAAATTTTCATTAAAGATTTGGCCTTTTTAATCTAGTATTTTAGAAATTTTTTGAATATGCAGTTTTGTAGCCCATTAAATTTTAAAGAAAGTTCTAAGCGGATGCAAAATCGCGTTGATGTTTAATAATTTTTTTTTTTACGGATTTTTGCACTTTTTTTCATACAAGCATGAATTTGTTATGGAAGAAAATGCGTCCGTTTTCAAAGACAATTAAAAAAATCGATGTCAGTTTTTATAAATTTCACTTGTTATATGAAAAATAAACCCACAAAAACCGTCAGCAAAAAATAATATGAATTTAATGCAAATTTGTTAATTTTTCTAAGCTCTGTATAAAGTTTGACTTATATGGTTTTGGTTAAAGCGTGAACGAAGTAAGGTTATAAAAAAATAACAAAATAAATAAATAAATAATAGTTTAGTGGACTATTAAGCTGCATACTCAAAAAAAAAATCTGGAAACTCTGAATAATAAATGCTGAAAATTTAGCTGAAACTTGAAATGTGGATTTATACGGTGTTTGTTATATAATGAGCTAAACTTTTATGAAAAATTAATAAACGTTAAATAAACAAAAGAAAAATAGCTATATAAAAGTTATGATAAAAGATTTCCGATAGTATCGCGATAGTGAACACCATTCATCGATGGTGGTCACAAATTTAAACTATCGATACTATTGATAGTGCCATCGCAAGTTTTGCAGGTCTACTGTGTCAGTGATATTATTGCTATTACACTGCAAGCAAGTAAATTGCTACCAAATGATATACAATTTCGGTCAATTTTAACCTGCCATAAATGATCATCTTAGGAGACGTAAATAAATATTTGTCTTTCTGATACTTTTTCTTTTAAATAAATATGCCGGCGTATTTGGATAATTTCTTTCATTGACTGAAAGAAAAAAATCTGCCATAACTAGCCACAACCGTCAAAATAATGTAAGTAAAATTTTTTTCCAAAATTTCCTTTTGATGCAGAAATATTTATAGAGCATCCTAGATGCATTTATGCATTAAAAATAAAATTTTGAAAAAATGTTGCTTACGTTATTTTGGCAGTTAGGTGGTTAACTTTAATAATTTTAAAATTTTAATTAACTTCAATATCTTGGTTTTTGTTAATATGTACATACATGTTTTCTTTAGGCTCTTAATAGACCGAATTAACCATTTCCAAGTTATTTTGGCAGTTAGGTGGTTAACTTTAATAATTTTAAAATTTTAATTAACTTCAATATCTTGGTTTTTGTTAATATGTACATATATGTTTTCTTTAGGCTCTTAATAGACCGAATTAACCATTTCCAAGTTCCCGAAAATTTCATTGAAATATTGCCAATTTTGAATACTGTAACGTTACACCAGCCCTTTCTATTAATATTCAATTCGATGGAGTGAAGAGATTTGGCGGGAGCATTAGAGCGACTCACAGTCATACTAAGCTAAGCATTAGCTTAAGTTTGAGCGGAATTTATAACCAATTCATAATTTAGAAGCTTTGACGAAAAATAAGTTATATTCAATTATTTGTCTTTAGTTATCTTTTGCCTTTGGTCGTGAAAAAAGTCTGTTAAGTATGCGGGCGTAAGTAAAACTCCACCAACACCCACATAATGCACACACACATGCATGAAAAGGCACACAAATAAAATAAAATACATATTCAATTTGAGCTGAGAGAAGCTGTTGCAGCGAAGAGTGGAGCAGAACTCCCAAACATATGTATGTACATACATATGATTGTGTTGGTAGCACGATTGGAGGAGAGCCACTATCGTGTTATACAGGTAGGCTGCCGGCAGCGCAAATGGTAAAGGCACAACAGTGTGGCAATAGAGAGGGAATTATATATATATATATATATATGTAGGTAGATAAATATTTAATATATTCATACATGCTTATATACATATACAGTGTGCTTTGATATGTACATATGCATATACCTTCACATATGCTTTTATTTACATACATACATGCATATATGCATTTTGTGCTTGCATCTGCATCATGCTTGTGTGTATGTGCGTGCATTTGCATATACATACATATGCATATACTATGCCTCCTGCATCTTGCTGCACATTTTTCTGTATTTTTGCTCATCTACAAACTACTGCCCCGCCTGTGCTCCCTTGTCAACCCCCAAACCGCCAACCCCACCAACTATGTATCTCCCTAATTTTTTTTTTGTCAGCGAACTCTGGTCGCACTTCCACTTCATTTCAACGCTTGAACGCACTTTTTCTGCTGCTACAAAGTATGTATTGCTGTTGCTCGTTGCAACGAGATCTGTAGCATTCGCACTTCGTGCAGCCGAGGCAATTTTATTTTTGTCCCATAATTAAAATGCGTCGTTGGGTCTGCATATATGCACATACATAGATACTTATGTGAAGCTGCGGTTGTCGTTCATCGGCGGCTTCTCTGCGGTGCCCTTTTATTCTTCGTTTTATTTTACCAGTTGTTTATTTATCAATGCGCTTAGTTAGTCATTTAGTTTGTAGTGCCGAGCAAAAAGGAAAGTGTTCTTTGGTATAGAGTTTAGAGAGAACATGTTACTAGGATATTGCTAACACATTTGGCACAGGCAGCGCAAAAGGAAAACAGAGCCGTAGGGGAGGCGAAATTTTCGATGCGGTGATAAATACAAAAAACTCAAATATGAGGTTTATGTTTAATGTTTGCATTTGTTAAAGAGTTATTTGCTTTATTCTATGCTCAGAGTGGATCTTTTCGGATCTGGCTCTGACAGAAGTTTTCTAAGACTCCGAGGCCATTCTAATTTGGAATAGAAACTGAAGAAATTCGATGGAAATTGAACTTTTAAGACAGTGTTATTGTATGTCAAAACATCAATGGTGGTGGTGGTTCATCAGCGTCAAGTTTCAAAGTGATACATCAGCGTGCAGAAGGCCGAGTTTAGTCAGAGAAGGGTTTGACATAAGCAACGGAGGGGATGCTGTTTGGGAATAAAACCGAACCTGTAAATATCTTTATACGTTTTTTAAAAATCAGAAGTGGGATATTATTTACAGGCAGGTTATCCTGAGCGTGGACCACTAATCAATAAACTATAGATGAATTTCTCTCTACAGCGATGTGTACGTTTGGAAAGTTTTACTGGACTGACAGTAAATAGTAAAGTAAAATAGTAAAAAGTAAATAGTAAATTGTTTATTTAACCATTTTTTATGATTAAAGATTTTTTATTGGTCCCCCATTGCATTTTCTAGGACCTATAAAATATAGTTAGCATGAAAAAATGGTTAAAGGAACAATTGGATATTATTACTGGGAATCTCCTGAAAGTAAGCAAAGTTTTCCGATCGAAAAATATTGATTTGCAAGAATTCTACACTATTTCTACGAAAAGTTGTTTTTTCCCCATATAAAATACATTGAAAACTCTGAGCGCTTTGAGCACTCCCTAAATTTTTTTTATTTCAAAATAAAAAAATAGGGGTATATTTTTTGTAGGTATAGAACAATCCGGGGGGTGGCGGCATTAAAAATACGAACTTATTTTTTTGCATACAATTTTGGACCACTTTATGATACAGTGAGTGTCAGTGAAAATAGTTTTTATTTTGTATTTTATATATTGTATACATTTTTATCAAAATATAGTTCACTCCATCGAAGCTGAATGAGAGAGGTGGTGTCTTCTCCGACTAACTCTCCGTCAGCCCGAAATTTAGATTAATTCCAATAAAATAGTCTTGATTGCTCTCTAGTGTAACACCTTTTAAAGAGGTGAATATTTAAGGGCTGACTATAATAGTACAGTACAACAAACTGCTCACAGCTGCTGATCACACAATTATAGTAACCTAGGAACGCTGAAGAACTGTTCGCCTTACGAAACTTTCAGGATTACCTGGTAGTTCTGTAAAAGGAAACGCTTACGGCCCACTTCCTAATGTGGAACCAGAACCTGTTTTGACCTATGTTACAAGTAGGACTGAATCGAAAAAGTTACCAAGTTGAAAAATAAGTTACCAAATTACCAAATATGATAAATAACGAAAAAAAAATACCAATTTCGTTAAAAAAGCCAAAGCGGCAACACTGCATGTGTTACAAGCTCGATAGTCTATATAATTTATCATTTTACTAACGAGCAACGCTTGCAAATCATTGAATTTTATTACCAAAATCAGTGTTCGGTTCGCTTTACGTCCGATTTATGGTCTACATAATCGACCAAGTGAGCAAACAATTAATGCGATTGTGACCAAGTTTCGCACTCAGTTTACTTTATTGGACATTAAACCAACCACACGAATGCGTACAGTGCGTACAGAAGAGAATATTGCGTCTGTTTCTGAGAGTGTTGCTGAAGACCGTGAAATGTCGATTCGTCGCCGTTCGCAGCAATTGGGTTTGCGAAACACATTTCGAACCGAACACTGATTTTGGTAATAAAATTCAATGATTTGCAAGCGTTGCTCGTTAGTAAGTCTATTCATGATGAAATGTCAAAGCATACTGAGCATCTTTCTCTTTGACACCATGTCTGAAATCCCACGTGATCTGTCAAATACTAATGCATGAAAATCCTAACCTCAAAAAAATCACCCGTTAGAAAAAATACCATATATAACATTCCAGTAAAATCGCATAATGATTACTACTTTTTCTTCTAAGCCATCTTGGCCGAGCTGAGCAAAGCATGCCAGTCGTTTCTCTTCTCTGCCATATGACGCCTTCTCCATTTGGTATTTTTATCGCATTGGGGCCTCACTCTTCCTCTACTCCCGCCAGCAGTTTACGAGTTGAATAATTTCAAAGCTGGGGCGTCGGTGCCTTTTTTTATTCGCTGCATATATTCATGTCGTTGTAAAGCTCATACAACTCAACGTTCAATCGTCTGCGGTACTCCCTGTTATCAGTAAGTAAATGCCCGTGAATCTTTCGCAAAATATTTTTTCGGTGAGTATCGATCTTTTTCTCGCGGGTCTTTTTAAGATTTCGCGTTTTGCAAATACGTCCAGAAAA